GTATGACGTGACCTAAGCTCTGAACAAAACCCTAGAGTCACCTCTGCTGCCACCACCAGACCAGTAATACAAGAGCAATGATCGAGGTCTGGATCGATCACGCTAATTAATCAACCTAGGGGCTTGATCCCCACTATAAACGATGACCTTGAGTGTGGAATAAATTACACGGTAATGATAATTCCGATTCGATGTTAGAATCGGCGCCCAATGCAACTCCGCCTCGTGTGGACCACGTGACCAGGACAAGTATACACATAAAACACATGGAAACAATAAAATGCAAATTAATAACAAATTTAATTTATTAAAAGAAAACTAAAACAAAATCTAAATGTGTTCACTCCCTATCAATTTAACACTCCCTACTTGACCTGAGTGGCAAATGAGACTATTTCTATACTTAACAATAGCAACTATACCTTGGGGCGACCACAGCTCTAGGTGTTGGGTGGTCTTGGGGAGAGGTAAGATGTTGACCTCTTATCCCAGCTGCTTCCGTGACCACACTGATTTGTCCTCGTCTGGCCTAGCCCAGACTAGAACCTTGTATCCTTCCGCCTAGTCAGTCAAAGTTCTACCAAGTTACTAGCCAGGTTTAAGTTATAACAATTAACCTCTGTTGTACTTAATTGATCCAGACTGGTTGAATTATTTTACTGAATTAAATTACACAAGCCTCTAACGGCAGAGCTGTTCCCGATCACAAAGATGGTTATTAAAACTTTGAGAAATAGTAGACCTGTCAACCCCTGATGACCTATGACCGCCGGTCACTCCGCTTTAAAAGTTAGAGCCGATTCGTGACGTCACTGATGGTGACTTAAACTCAATAATTAGAATACTCTTGATATTGTATCCAGTACTATTATACAATACAATTTTAATGCAAAATGAATAAAGGCTAATTTTCTCTAAATTGCTGAATACTATAGGATGGTTCATTATACGCAGCTATGAACAAAGCGTTGGTTATTTCCACCGCGAATTCCCCTGGGGGTCAGGTCACCATGCGGCTCAGCTTCCCATTCTCTTTTGTCGATAAACCACTCTGGATAATTCTTACAACAGCCTAGTTTGTTACAACCCCCCCCGCACAAGCACTTAGTAAACCTTGTTAATTTGTTAAAATTCACGAGGTTTAGTATCCAAACCCACAATTCAACTCATGCCACAAACAAAAGCTAACCTAACTAATAAAATTTGACAAATAATAGTCCAACATCATAATAAACATGTTCATATATTATAAATTTCTCAGCTGTCAACTGACAGCAATCCTCTAATATCAGGAAACATACATCCTATCCTTACTGACATAGCTAAATAACATGTCCCTACTCTACCATCAAAAACTAGCTATTAAACTCTCTTGGCTCTTCACTAGCCAAGTCCATGTGTCCTCTAGAGCCGGCCACACCGTGCTCAAACAAACATTAAAGTTATATCATCAGACTGAACTTTCAGTCATCCGGGAGCGTACTACGGAACTATCAAGTTCACATCCGTGTACTAACCACTCCCCATCAATGTCAACCTTGACATGCTAAGGAACACACCTAACGTTTATTACATCTATCTAAAAAATAAAAAAAAATCCTATACTATATCACAGGTTTCAGCTGACTGTACAGCCAAGTGTTCTCACTCACTAGAAGTGTCAATGTTTATATTGGTCCGCCTCTCCTGTGTTCAAACATTCTGAAAAAATAGCACAACATAATTTTCCATAACCGTTTGTTCTGGGCTGAGACAATTACACAGGGGCTTCGATTTTGATTACTGACCAATTTATAGAGTAAAATTCATATATTATACCAGAATTATTATTTATCTGTTTTTCAACATTTAAAAAGTATTGATTCTAAATCTGTTTTTCAACATTTAAACAAAAGTGTCCAGATGTTCTTTACACAGATGTTCAGAGCCACTTTGTTGTTTGTATCAATTGTTCATATTGGTGGCAGCGTAAAGGCTGCCACCATTGTAACACGGGTTAGGTTCCTCTCACTTTACTTCCTTCTTTCTACTCCCTCTACCCGTATTCTTACTTTTATTTCTAAACCAAGGGACTCCAAAACTTTTACCAAAGCCAACTCCACGCCACGTGGTCCTAAGACGATTGACCGACTTAGGATTCTACACCCAGTATGACGTGACCTAAGCTCTGAACAAAACCCTAGAGTCACCTCTGCTGCCACCACCAGACCAGTAATACAAGAGCAATGATCGAGGTCTGGATCGATCACGCTAATTAATCAACCTAGGGGCTTGATCCCCACTATAAACGATGACCTTGAGTGTGGAATAAATTACACGGTAATGATAATTCCGATTCGATGTTAGAATCGGCGCCCAATGCAACTCTGCCTCGTGTGGACCACGTGACCAGGACAAGTATACACATAAAACACATGGAAACAATAAAATGCAAATTAATAACAAATTAATTTATTAAACGAAAACTAAAACAAAAATCTAAATATGTTCACTCCCTATCAATTTAACACTCCCTACTTGACCTGAGTGGCAAATGAGACTATTTCTATACTTAACAATAGCAACTATACCTTGGGCGACCACAGTTCTAGGTGTTGGGCCTGTTCTTGGGGAGAGGTAAGATGTTGACCTCTTATCCCAGCTGCTTCCGTGACCACACTGATTTGTCCTCGTCTGGCCTAGCCCAGACTAGAACCTTGTATCCTTCCGCCTAGTCAGTCAAAGTTCTACCAAGTTACTAGCCAGGTTTAAGTTATAACAATTAACCTCTGTTGTACTTAATTGATCCAGACTGGTTGAATTATTTTACTGAATTAAATTACACAAGCCTCTAACGGCAGAGCTGTTCCCGATCACAAAGATGGTTATTAAAACTTTGAGAAATAGTAGACCTGTCAACCCCTGATGACCTATGACCGCCGGTCACTCCGCTTTAAAAGTTAGAGCCGATTCGTGACGTCACTGATGGTGACTTAAACTCAATAATTAGAATACTCTTGATATTGTATCCAGTACTATTATACAATACAATTTTAATGCAAAATGAATAAAGGCTAATTTTCTCTAAATTGCTGAATACTATAGGATGGTTCATTATACGCAGCTATGAACAAAGCGTTGGTTATTTCCACCGCGAATTCCCCTGGGGGTCAGGTCACCATGCGGCTCAGCTTCCCATTCTCTTTTGTCGATAAACCACTCTGGATAATTCTTACAACAGCCTAGTTTGTTACATCAGCACCATCATGTGTGTCCTCAGCACCATCATGTGTGTCCTCAGTACCACCATGTGTGTCCTCAGTACCACCATGTGTGTCCTCAGTACCATCATGTGTGTCCTCAGCACCATCATGTGTGTCCTCAGCACCATCATGTGTGTCCTCAGCACCACCATGTGTGTCCTCAGCACCACCATGTGTGTCCTCAGCACCATCATGTGTGTCCTCAGCACCACCATGTGTGTCCTCAGCACCATCATGTGTGTCCTCAGCACCATCATGTGTGTCCTCAGCACCATCATGTGTGTCATCAGCACCATCTTGTGTGTCCTCAGCACCATCTTGTGTGTCATCAGCACCATCATGTGTGTCCTCAGCACCATCATGTGTGTCCTCAGCACCATCATGTGTGTCCTCAGCACCATCATGTGTGTCCTCAGCACCATCATGTGTGTCCTCAGCACCATCATGTGTGTCATCAGCACCATCATGTGTGTCCTCAGAACCATCATGTGTGTCCTCAGTACCATCATGTGTGTCCTCAGCACCATCATGTGTGTCCTCAGCACCATCATGTGTGTCCTCAGCACCATCATGTGTGTCCTCAGCACCATCATGTGTGTCCTCAGCACCATCATGTGTGTCATCAGCACCATCATGTGTGTCCTCAGCACCATCATGTGTGTCCTCAGCACCATCATGTGTGTCCTCAGCACCATCATGTGTGTCATCAGCACCATCATGTGTGTCATCAGCACCATCATGTGTGTCCTCAGCACCATCATGTGTGTCCTCAGCACCATCATGTGTGTCATCAGCACCATCATGTGTGTCATCAGCACCATCATGTGTGTCCTCAGAACCATCATGTGTGTCCTCAGTACCATCATGTGTGTCCTCAGTACCATCATGTGTGTCCTCAGCACCATCATGTGTGTCCTCAGTACCATCATGTGTGTCCTCAGTACCATCATGTGTGTCCTCAGCACCATCATGTGTGTCCTCAGCACCATCATGTGTGTCCTCAGCAATATCATGTGTGTCCTCAGTACCACCATGTGTGTCCTCAGTACCACCATGTGTGTCCTCAGTACCATCATGTGTGTCCTCAGCACCATCATGTGTGTCCTCAGCACCATCATGTGTGTCCTCAGCACCACCATGTGTGTCCTCAGCACCACCATGTGTGTCCTCAGCACCATCATGTGTGTCCTCAGCACCACCATGTGTGTCCTCAGCACCATCATGTGTGTCCTCAGCACCATCATGTGTGTCCTCAGCACCATCATGTGTGTCATCAGCACCATCATGTGTGTCCTCAGCACCATCATGTGTGTCATCAGCACCATCATGTGTGTCCTCAGCACCATCATGTGTGTCCTCAGCACCATCATGTGTGTCCTCAGCACCATCATGTGTGTCCTCAGCACCATCATGTGTGTCCTCAGCACCATCATGTGTGTCATCAGCACCATCATGTGTGTCCTCAGAACCATCATGTGTGTCCTCAGTACCATCATGTGTGTCCTCAGCACCATCATGTGTGTCCTCAGCACCATCATGTGTGTCCTCAGCACCATCATGTGTGTCCTCAGCACCATCATGTGTGTCCTCAGCACCATCATGTGTGTCATCAGCACCATCATGTGTGTCCTCAGCACCATCATGTGTGTCCTCAGCACCATCATGTGTGTCCTCAGCACCATCATGTGTGTCATCAGCACCATCATGTGTGTCATCAGCACCACCATCATGTGTGTCCTCAGCACCATCATGTGTGTCCTCAGCACCATCATGTGTGTCATCAGCACCATCATGTGTGTCATCAGCACCATCATGTGTGTCCTCAGAACCATCATGTGTGTCCTCAGTACCATCATGTGTGTCCTCAGTACCATCATGTGTGTCCTCAGCACCATCATGTGTGTCCTCAGTACCATCATGTGTGTCCTCAGTACCATCATGTGTGTCCTCAGCACCATCATGTGTGTCCTCAGCACCATCATGTGTGTCCTCAGCAATATCATGTGTGTCCTCAGTACCATCATGTGTGTCCTCAGCACCATCATGTGTGTCCTCAGCACCATCAATTGTGTCCTCAGCACCATCATGTGTGTCCTCAGCACCATCATGTGTGTCTTCAGCACCATCATGTGTGTCCTCAGCACCATCATGTGTGTCATCAGCACCATCATGTGTGTCATCAGCACCATCATGTGTGTCCTCAGCACCATCATGTGTGTCCTCAGCGCCACCATGTGTGTCCTCAGCGCCACCATGTGTGTCCTCAGCACCATCATGTGTGTCCTCAGCACCATCATGTGTGTCCTCAGAACCATCATGTGTGTCCTCAGCACCATCATGTGTGTCCTCAGCACCATCATGTGTGTCCTCAGCACCATCATGTGTGTCCTCAGCACCATCATGTGTGTCCTCAGAACCATCATGTGTGTCCTCAGCACCATCATGTGTGTCCTCAGCACCATCATGTGTGTCCTCAGAACCATCATGTGTGTCCTCAGCACCATCATGTGTGTCCTCAGCACCATCATGTGTGTCCTCAGCACCATCATGTGTGTCCTCAGCACCATCATGTGTGTCATCAGCACCATCATGTGTGTCCTCAGCACCACCATGTGTGTCCTCAGCACCACCATGTGTGTCCTCAGTACCACCATGTGTGTCCTCAGTACCACCATGCGTGTCCTCAGTACCATCATGTGTGTCCTCAGCACCATCATGTGTGTCCTCAGTACCACCATGTGTGTCCTCAGTACCACCATGTGTGTCCTCAGTACCACCATGTGTGTCCTCAGTACCATCATGTGTGTCCTCAGCACCATCATGTGTGTCCTCAGCACCACCATGTGTGTCCTCAGCACCATCATGTGTGTCCTCAGCACCATCATGTGTGTCCTCAGTACCATCATGTGTGTCCTCAGTACCACCATGTGTGTCCTCAGTACCACCATGTGTGTCCTCAGCACCTCAGGAACTTGGAGGATGAACCATTATCTTCCTTCAGTCAACGTAAAATTAAAAAATAAAAATCATTATCTTAATTCTGTTTCTTCTTCCAGACCTTGCTGTTGGTGGGGAGGGTTTCCTCCCAGAGCCCCACACCTGCGCCCACATCTGTGGCCACACCTGCGGGCACAGGTGCTGGCACACCGGTCACTGTTGCCCTTGGAGTCGACTCCCAGGGAGCTAGGGGTCAAGGAGGAACACTTGGGAAAGCTTTTTCCCTTCCTGTTTCCACCAGCATCAACAAACGTCAAACCGAAGGACATCAGAGGCCGCTAAACCCACAGTTCTCTGGTCCCAATCAGATTCGTCACGGAGGGTTCAATAGTTTCCATGTGGATAGAGTGAGAAGCTCAGTATCTAATCCTTTTCTTAACAAACCTGTTCAAATAAGAAATGGAGGTTCAACAAGATTTCACCAAACTGGGTTTTCTGGCCAGTCGTTACAGAAATCTGAGAGCAACGGTGCTCAGAGCCAACTGTTTAACAGAGTCCTCTCAAACCAGCCCACATTCCGTCGACAGTTCTTCAACTTCCCCTCAAGTGGACAGGTCGTAAGGGCACATCCACTTCAGGGTCACAATGGTCAATCCTCACATATAATATTAAACGGCGATCCTCGCTCTCTGTTTTTAACGGAACGGAACGCAGTATCGCCAGCTACAAACCGGATATCAGTCCGACGAGGCGTCGTCCAAGAAATTCACCACCAGCCTTCTCTCGGAGGTCAAAATTCTGGACAAACTGTGTCCTTCATCCCTCAGAATACATTCCAATCCCAAACCGGTTCTCAAAACTCTCAAAATTTCTTTCAACGGCCCCAAGGGCAGGCACAAAGACAGTTTATTCCTCAACAGTCACTTAGAGGTCAACTATTCTTCCAGCAAACACCTAAGTCACTCCTCCAGCAGACTCAGGACCCATCTCTAACTACCCTTCAAGTAACGACACCAAACACTTCAGGTCTTCTTCCCCAGAGGCCCCAAATTGGGTCACCTGTAAGGGTCACAACCCAACAGCTACTTGGGTCATTTTCACCCCAAGTAACAAATGCTTTCCGCCATCCTCAGCTAATTCAGAATCCGCAATCACCTCAGGATAGGCTGCGAGATCTGAGTTCTCAGAGAACACAAGCTGAGATCTTAATACGTCAGAATCTCTCTCAGCAACCTCAGGGCCTGTTTCAGCAACAACCTCAGCAACAGTTCCAACAACCTCAGGGCCTGGTCTCTCAACAACCTCAGCAACAGTCCCAACAACCTCAGCAACAGTCCCAACAACCTCAGGGCCTGGTCTCTCAACAACCTCAGCAACAGTCCCAACAACCTCAGCAACAGTTCCAACAACCTCAGGGCCTGGTCTCTCAACAACCTCAGCAACAGTCCCAACAACCTCAGCAACAGTTCCAACAACCTCAGGGCCTGGTCTCTCAACAACCTCAGCAACAGTCCCAACAACCTCAGCAACTGTCCTCTCAACAACTGTCCTCTCAACAACCTCAGCAACAGTCCCAACAGCCTCAGCAACAGTTCTCTCAACAGCTGTCCTCTCAACAACCTCAGCAACAGTCCCAACAACCTCAGCAACTGTCCTCTCAACAACTGTCCTCTCAACAACTGTCCTCTCAACAACCTCAGCAACAGTCCCAACAGCCTCAGCAACAGTTCTCTCAACAGCTGTCCTCTCAACAATCTCAGCAACAGTCCCAACAACCTCAGCAACTGTCCCAACAACTGTCCTCTCAACAATCTCAGCAACAGTCTCAACAATCTCAGCAACAGTCTCAACAACCTCAGCAACAGTTCTCTCAACAACTGTCCTCCCAACAACTGTCCTCTCAACAACCTCAGCAACTGTCCCAACAACTGTCCCAACAACTGTCCTCTCAACAATCTCAGCAACAGTCCCAACAACCTCAGCAGCTGTCTCAACAGCCTCAGCATGCGGCACCTGAACAAGGCCACATACTCCAGGCTGCACATCTTGGAAGACCCCAAACACTCCAGAGGCAGCCCACACCGCTACCAGCACATCAACCAACGGCTCAACACCCAGTGTCAACAGTAACTTTGGCACGTCCTGGCTCCTTATCTGGCTTTGGAGTGCCTCTTCCGGCAGCACCCCGAGTGCCATCGACGTCGGGGACTCAGCAATCAAGCTTTGGAGGGCCTCAGCCTTCAGCACCCCAAGTGTTATCATTTTCAGGGGCTTCAAGTCATACTCGGCAGCCCGGGTTTGGAGTGCCTCTTCCATCAGCACCCCAAGTGTCATTGTCTTCATCAGCTCTACGCCATACTCAGCAGTCCGGATTTAGAGGTTTGCAGTCTCTAAAAACTCAAACTCAGCAGTCCGGGTTTGCTGAGACTAAGCCTCAGCAAACGGGGACCGGAGTATTCCTTCACCAAACACGTTCTCAGTCACTTATTCCATCACAGGTGAGATCGGTTATTCTAATAATAAAAAATCCCATTTTCTTTGGTATTATGTTAAGATCATGGATAACTTATAAAAAATGTAATATATTACACTTATTCAATAATTATTTCAATCACTTTTAATACTAATAGAATTTCGATTATAGAGTGATTTTGGAAAGATTCACTTCCTCAATACTTTGGTTCTCGCTGTAAAAGTTTTATGTTACCTTCGTCGGCTTTAACAAGCTAACAAATGTTGGTTGTATTTCGTCACTTTCACCCTCATAAAAAAAATTGCATAATGGAGAGGTTGTTACCCAATCTTGGCGGGGTGTGGTAGCTCCCCAGCCCCACCCTTGAACCACTGGCTCGTTAACACACCAACTGCCCAACTGCTTAGGGATGAGAAACGTTTTCTAGAGTCCTAGACCATCTAGAAAACATTCTTTGTCCGAATTCCAGCTTTCAAAGAGGCGTCACCCACGTTCTGTAAACTCATGCAAGAGGCAAAACTGACGATATTACTCTTCTTTTCACAGGGACGAAACCAGTTTGGCGGCTTCAGCTTCATTACCGATAATTCTAATGAGCACTTCGACGCGTCTCTGGAGATTCCCTTCGGAGTTGCTTCCGGATTAGCGGGCACTTCCGGACGACTGAGCGCTGGAGGTCCGGGAAGCGGGCATCGTACTGCTCCAGGGAGGATCAGACTCATACATGACAACACGCGTGAGGACTTGACGAAGGAGGATAATTCTCGGGAGTTCTTCCTCAGAAGCGGTCGACCCGCCCTCGGAGACCTGACGCAGCACAGGGGCCAAGACACCTCGAGTTTTTCCAGCAGGACTGGTCGAGGCATAGGCGTTAGCGTGTCCCTGGAGGACCTCACCCTCGAGGACCTCACCCTGGAGGACCTCACCCTCGAGGACCTGACAGTAGAAGATCATACAAGTGAACTATTTGATGACTAACAGACATTGTCTCCAATGTTAAAGTACTCATTGTCAAGGGTCAATGTTTATTAAAACACTGCCTCATAATACAATGTTATCTTAGGATGTACACATATTTGTATAATGTACTTTAAGTATTTTGTAGAAATATGAGCATAGCATACCAGATAACTGTTTGTGTTAGGAGTTTGTTGTATAGTCTGCGCTGTTTGCCTAATTTCTTAATGTAACTTATTCATTGTTTCTCAGAATATATGAATGATTTTTCCAAAGTCAATTGCCGTGAACTAGCAGTTCCACTTGTGAAGGACAGCTTGTAACTCTACATTACTTGTAATATTTATTGTTATTTAAAGCTGATAATAAAGTAAGAATATATTTATGAAAATGTGAGAATTTGTTTTGTACGAAAGTACAGATGCACATTGGAGGAGACGAAAGGGTAAGTGTGTGTGGTCTGTTGACGATAAGCTGAGTGCGAGTTGAGTGCGTTCTCTACAAGTGACTTTAACTTGAGTGTAACACAAGAGTGAGTTGAAACCAATTATATCCACCAAAACTAATTCAGATTTACAGGATCATTAATAGGGGCATATACTATGAATAGGAATTTTTAAACACCTATTCTGCCAGAATTCGATAAGTATGCCAAATACAGTAGGAATTACATGGGTGAGACTGTACCCCTCCACCACCCCCCACTGGATGGGGAGGGGGGGGGGGGTGGATGGGTGGATAGGATAGTCGTTGGTAAACTTGATGTGTCTGTTTAATTTCAAATGTAAACTGCTCACCATAAAGACTACTAAGGTTCAGTTTCGGAATACATTCTGTAATTCTGTAACCTTCGCCTCACCAACCACAGGATGAGTATGGGGTCCAACACCACTCACAGGATGGGTATGGGGTCCACCACCACTCACAGGATGGGTATGGGGTCCAACACCACTCACAGGATGGGTATGGGGTCCACTACCACTCACAGGATGGGTATGGGGTCCAACACCACTCACAGGATGGGTATGGGGTCCAACACCACTCACAGGATGGGTATGGGGTCCACTACCACTCACAGGATGGGTATGGGGTCCACCGCCCACAGGATGAGTATGGGATATAATACCACTCAAAGGATGGGTATGGGGTCCACTACCACTCACAGGATGGGTATGGGGTCCACCACCACCCACAGGATGAGTATGGGATATAATACCACTCACAGGATGGGTATGGGGTCCACTACCACTCACAGGATGGGTATGGGGTCTACTACTACCCACAGGATGGGTATGGGGTCCAATACCACTCACAGGACGGGTATGGGGTCCACTACCACCCACAGGATGGGTATGGGGTCCACCACCACCCACAGGATGGGTATGGGGTTCAATACCTCCCACAGGATGGGTATGGGGTCCACCACCACCCACAGGATGGGTATGGGGTTCAATACCTCCCACAGGATGGTATGGGGTCCACCACCACCCACAGGATGGGTATGGGGGTCCACTACAACCCACAGGATGGGTATAGGGTCCACCACCACCCACAGGATGGGTATGGGGTCCACCATCACCCACAGGATGGGTATGGGGTCCACTACCACCCACAGGATGGGTATGGGGTCCACCACCACCCACAGGATGGGTATGGGGTCCACCACCACTCACAGGATGGGTATGGGGTCCAACACCACTCACAGGATGGGTATGGGGTCCACTACCACTCACAGGATGGGTATGGGGTCCACCACCACCCACAGGATGAGTATGGGATATAATACCACTCACAGGATGGGTATGGGGTCCACTACCACTCACAGGATGGGTATGGGGTCCACCACCACCCACAGGATGGGTATGGGGTCCACCATCACCCACAGGATGGGTATGGGGTCCACTACCACCCACAGGATGGGTATGGGGTCCACCACCACCCACAGGATGGGTATGGGGTCCACCACCACCCACAGGATGGGTATGGGGTCCAACACCACTCACAGGATGGGTATGGGGTCCACTACCACTCACAGGATGGGTATGGGGTCCACCACCACCCACAGGATGAGTATGGGATATAATACCACTCACAGGATGGGTATGGGGTCCACTACCACTCACAGGATGGGTATGGGGTCTACTACTACCCACAGGATGGGTATGGGGTCCAATACCACTCACAGGACGGGTATGGGGTCCAATACCACCCACAGGATGGGTATGGGGTCCACCACCACCCACAGGATGGGTATGGGGTTCAATACCTCCCACAGGATGGGTATGGGGTCCACCACCACCCACAGGATGGGTATGGGGTCCACCATCACCCACAGGATGGGTATGGGGTCCACTACCACCCACAGGATGGGTATGGGGTCCACCACCACCCACAGGATGGGTATGGGGTCCACCACCACCCACAGGATGGGTATGGGGTCCACCACCACCCACAGGATGGGTATGGGGTTCACTCCCACCCACAGGATGGGTATAGGGTCCACCACCACCCACAGGATGGATATGGGGTCCACCACCACCCACAGGATGGGCATGGGGTCCACCACCACCCACAGGATGGGTATGGGGTCCACCACCACCCACAGGATGGGTATGGTGGTCCACCACCACCCACAGGATGGGTATAGGGTCCACTACCACCCACAGGATGGGTATGGGGTCCACTACCACCCACAGGATGGGTATGGGGTCCACCACCACCCACAGGATGGGTATGGGGTCCACCACCACCCACAGGATGGGTATGGTGGTCCACCACCACCCACAGGATGGGTATGGGGTCCACTACCACCCACAGGATGGGTATGGGGTCCACCACCACCCACAGGATGGGTATGGTGGTCCACCACCACCCACAGGATGGGTATGGGGTCCACCACCACCCACAGGATGGGTATGGGGTCCACCACCACCCACAGGATGGGTATGGGGTCCACCACCACCCACAGGATGGGTATGGTGGTCCACCACCACCCACAGGATGGGTATGGGGTCCACTACCACCCACAGGATGGGTATGGGGTCCACCACCACCCACAGGATGGGTATGGGGTCCACCACCACCCACAGGATGGGTATGGGGTCCACTACCACCCACAGGATGGGTATGGGGTCCACCACCACCCACAGGATGGGTATGGGGTCCACCACCACCCACAGGATGGGTATGGTGGTCCACCACCACCCACAGGATGGGTATGGGGTCCACCACCACCCACAGGATGGGTATAGGGTCCACCACCACCCACAGGATGGGTATAGGGTCCACCACCCCCCACAGGATGGGTATGGGGTCCACCACCACCCACAGGATGGGTATAGGGTCCACCACCCCCCACAGGATGGGTATGGGGTCTACCACCACCCACAGAATACCCACTGGGTCTCTCAACACCTACATAACAGGAATGGGGAAGCACAATACACTGAGTAAACTATACATAAGTCCCGTTTTAAACAGATGCACCGTAAACTTCAATAAACCTACTTTATTTAATACCCATTCTTATCCGGGTAGAATGATCGGAAACGAGGGACCGGCAGTTTGGTCGAACCAGATATGAGGCCAACAACCAGTTTTGAACAGGGCGCTTTGAATCCCCGAAACTCAAGGTTGCGCTGGTCCGCCGGTTCTGCCCGTTTTGGCGCTCATGCAGCCTGTCCTCATTAACCAGCCCGTTCTCATAAACAAAGACTCAAAAGTCCATTCCATCCACCCGCCAAACCCCAGCTGTTTGTGAATGAAAAGCTCTTTACACACGACTCACAAATGCTGACGTTCGAACACTTCCGGAACAAGTGCTTCACTGACGACTTGTGTTCGAACCACAACGCTGTAATTTTTTTTTTGAGATATATACAAGCGTTGTTACATTCTTGTACAGCCACTAGTACGCGTAGCGTTTCGGGCAAGTCCTTAATCCTATGGTCCCTGGAATACGATCCCCGCCGCGAAGAATCGTTTTTTCATCCAAGTACACATTTTACTGTTGCGTTAAACAGAGGCTACAGTTAAGGAATTGTGCCCAGTAAATCCTCCCCGGCCAGGATACGAACCCATGACATAGCGCTCGCGGAACGCCAGGCGAGTGTCTTACCACTACACCACGGAGACTGTGAATGCTTCACCCACGTACTACAAATACCAATAATCGCCAACAGAACCTAAACACCTAACCTGACCTATGGTTAACTATACATAGAACATTAATTATATAACAATATTGATTCATAAACGAAAACATATCTATTTTTGATGAATGAATTGAGATAAAAGGGAGACGGCCACACCTGAGGACAGATTAGGGTCATGCGAAACCAGTTTTTCATTTATAAACAGGCAGTTTGGCGCGAGGATTAACCAACAATTGATGTTTGTTGATGAGGACGGGCTGTCGTATGAAAACAATGGAGTCGAGGACATTGAAATTTAGGTCTCAATTTAGCAACTGGAAGTTATCACAGTTCATATCCGGATTCACCTCGTCTTCGAGGTGAATCCGGATATGAATCCGTATTCCAGGATGTGGGACCGAGTTTAAAACTAACTGGACAGTGATGTCGTTTACCAGAGGAGGCAATATACTTACCTGGCACAGGAGACACGGTGATCACAACCAGAGGAGGCAGCTGTCCTGTACGGTAAGAGCTGCCCATATGTTCCCACTGTTACAAGGTATCGTGAGGTATTCCCCACGTATGGAACATTACACCTCCAGCACCTAGACTACACCAGGGGCCAGATTCACGAAAGCACTTACGAACCTGTACATCTTTTCTCAATCTTTGGCGGCTTTGTTTACAATTATTAAACAGTTAATGAGCTCCGAAGCACCAGGAGGCTGTTTATAACAATAACAACAGTTGATTGACAACTTTTCATGCTTGTAAACTGTTTAATAAATGTAACCAAAGCCGTCAAAGATTGAGGAAAGATGTACACGTTCGTAAGTACTTGCGTAAGTGCTTTCGTGAATCTGGCTCCAGATCAGAGTCTGGAACCCTCCCCCCCCCTCTGTCTAAAAGGCGTTCGAATAGCATGGTTATTTCAGAACACAATTTGAACATCCATCCGCGGGTAAAGCTTCACTGAGTGTTGCTAAGTTCTTCACGCAGTTCTTCACAGCTTATAATACCCAATAACGTAATTTCAAGCAACGAACATCTTCAAAGATTAGAAATTTGAACATTAGAGGAACATTTGACAATAGGTGAGAAAAACTCTCTCCCCCCCTCAAAAAATAATTTACATATGAAATAACTTACAGTCAGAACAAAGGATAAAAAGGTTGAGTTATTAAGCTTTAATTAATATTCAACTTTAATAATTTAAGATAAAAACTTAAATAATAAATATCTTTACCGTGACTAC